AGGAGGAGGAGGAGGAGAAGCTGCTCAGTGAGAAAGCCCTGGCTTCAATCCCTAGAGGGAGGAAGAAAGACTAAAGGCACCAGGATAAGAGTAATTAAAGCTATTTTCAGGGATTGCAGAGATAAATACCTGCAAGCTTTCACAACTTTCAATTCCAGCCCTGGAGGGACACCTGGACATCTCTAAACTTACAGTCACCTCAGATTTCAGAAAAGCAGAGCCTCGCATACCACCACAATGAGATCACCTCCCCCGAAGCAGGAGCCATCGCCCCAGACAGACCTGGGCAGACCCCTGCCAAGCAGAAGGTCTTCTCATGGGAATGGAATACCCCTCAAGCCCTAAGAATTCCTGCAGAACCTCAGAACTGGAACTGAGATTGTCTCAGTCACTCTTCTCTCATTGCTGTGACAAACACGACACCAAAAACAAGTGCTCCTAGTTAGTGGGGGTTTCAGTTCATACTCGGCTGACTCCAAGGCAGAGAGCAGCAGCTCATGGCAGCAGCCCAGGCAGCTAGCTAGCCTCTCTCCCCTCCTCACATTGTAATGCAAATCATCTGCCCCAGGGCAGCACCCACACCCACAATGATCAATGACTGTTTGAGGTTTTGGGGGATGAGTAGAAACAAAGCTAGCGGAGATGATGGTCATCTGGGTCCTGAGCCACTTCAGCTAACCACAGGTGCTGGCCAAGTGCTCTTGGGAGCAGACAGCATGAGCTCCTGCCTTAGAGGGCTCCCTCTACACCCTAGTTCCTGCTCTCTGACTTTCTACCTCTGCCTAATAAAGTTGCCTTTTCTCTCTCTCTCTCTTTTTTTTTTTTTTTTTTGCCAGAACTAGGGATTGAACTCAGGCTCTTGCGCTTGCCAGGCAAGTTCTTATTCTACTGAGCTATCTCCCTGGGCATTACATAATTTTTTTAAAAAATATTATTTTGCCAGAACTAGGGATTGAACTCAAGCCCTTGCACTTGCTAGGCAAGTTCTTATTCTACTGAGCTATCTCCCTGGGCATTACATAATTTTTTTAAAAAAAATTTTATTTGTGTGTGTGTGTGTGGCCAGCTCAGCCCACCAGGGGGCGGGGGCTGGCTGCCATGTGGTGCTGGGGGATTGAACTGCAGTCCCTGTGCTTTGCTAAACTTGTTCTAAGTAGGTGCTTTAGACCACTGAGCCATCTCACCAGCCCCACTACATAATTTTTTAAAAAAATTATTTATGTATTTATTTGGTACAGGGTCTTGCTATGCAGTTGGGACTCAATGATCCTCCTGTCTCACCCTTCCCAGCACTGGGATTACAGGTGTGCACCATTATGCCTGGCTTCAGGGGCCTGCATGGTACACCCAGGATTCTGGGGCTGGCACAGCACGAGATACTGGGGATTGAACCCGGATCCTTGCACTTGCCAGGCAGGTGCTTAGACCACTGAGCTAGCTTCCCAGCCCCTATAATCTCTTCTTGTGAAATGAGTTTGAGGGGCCTGGGATATAGCTCAGCAGCCTAAGCACCTGGTTGGCAAGCACAAGGTCCCGAGTTTAATCCCAGATACATATATATACATATATACTCAACAATGGGTTTGAATGGACACTTAATTTACAAGTGAAAATGGTGACATTAAATTTCCAAGAACGCAGAAACAAAATGCATACAATTGAAAAAGAATACTTTTAGCTAGGGACGGTGGTACATGCCTATAATCCCAGGATTCTGGCAGGCTGAGGCAAACAAATCACAAATTCAAGCCTAGCCAGGGCAATTTAGTGATGCACTAAGACCTTATCTCAAAATTAAAAGAACAAACAAACAGGGCTGATGATGTAGCTCAGCACAAAGTCTCTCAGTTCAAACCCAAGTAGCAAAAAACAAAATAAAACAAACAAGGAACTTTTCACAGGTGAGGGTAAGGAAGAATTAGTTTGAGCTATTAAAAAAGATAAATTTAGGCCAATGAGGTAGTGTAGGCCTGTAAGCCCAGCTATTCAGGAGGGTGATGCTGAAGGAATGCAAAGTCAATGTTGGCCTGGACAAGTAGCAAGCTGCTGACTTTCAGCAAAAACTGGAAGGAGGTGAGGATATACCTCAGGGATGGAGCATGTCCTAGCATATCTGAGGCCCTGGGTTCAATCCTCAGCCCCGTTCCCCCAATGTAACAGTGACCCGAAAAGCCCAGTGACCCACACTGGGGGGTGTAGCAATCAAGGCCCAATGGACGAAGGGATCTGCAACCTTCTTCACTCTCACAGCTGGTTGAGTCTGTGAGGCTGGGAAGTCTGTGTGTGACACTGGCACATCAGTCTGGTGGCACTGCTACCATGGGACTGGATCAGGGTAGCAGTTCTATTTGTGCTAGGGATTTTTTTCAAAGAAAGCATAAAATCTAAGTTATAAAGATTCACACAAAAACAAAACAACACAAGCTGGGAATCACTACTGACTTGAGTTAGTTTTTTCTTAATCCTGCCAAGGTGGTACATAACATAGGCCTGAGAGCATGAAAGATAAGTTAATTTATTCGACACAATGTATGCTGTATGGATATAAGTGCTTCTTTCAGGAACCCATGGAGGGGCACATCATACGTGGCTGTGAGGGACCACCAGGGAGGAAAGTATGAATGCCCAGGACGGAGAATTGGACTGCGAATCTGGATCTGAACTGATGAAAGTCTGAGACTCCTCAGCGTCCAGTCCCCAAACAGAAAGCAAGTAAGACTCCATGCGGCCAATCTGAACTCTCTCCTTATAAATCTATACAATGCTTTAAGAAAGGTACTTTATTATTTTTAGGAAAAGATCCACGATTATCTTAAACATAAAACTCATATCCAGAAACATGAAGTAGTTTTAGGAACAAGGGGACATTGTGCTGGCACACAGTCCTGTCGCACAGAAGCCAGGGCAAGCCCGTCTCAGCCCCTGAGCCCAGGGGCGCGGCTGCTCTACCCCAGCAGTGTGCCACTTCCACCTGGAACTGGGTCCGTCATAAAGCCAGTGTCTACCGTCTTGTATGCACTGTGTTCCTGTGGCTTAGAGGCAGGCACAGAGCCGCTCCAGCTGCGTGGGGTTGGCACTGCTTAGGAAGAGCAGCTCCTTCTTCCCTTCTTCTGTAGGTGCTGGAATGGAGACAAGCACAGGTTAGGTGGCACTTTCTGCTGGCTGCATCGTGCCTCCCAGAAACCACCGTGCTCAGGTGCTCCCTCAGCCGTGTTACTTCCTGCAGCCATCTCCCCGACATCAGCCACCATTCTGCAGCTATTCTGACTTTTCCATCTCCAAAAATTGGTTCCCGTTAACTATAAATTTTCTGTTACCCAGCGACAGAACCCTTTTCTTCTATATCTTCTTCTACATCTCCTTTCATATTCAGAGATGAGGTAGATATAAATGGACAGACAGAATGCTTTCAGTTAGAGTTCATCCAATGTGATACTAAGGGTTAACTTTTTTTGTGTGTTTTATTTCAAAACAAAGTTTCGCTGTATAGGTTAGGATGGCCTTGAACTCACTATTAGTCTAGGCTGGCCTCAAAGACATGGCAATCCTCCTGCCTCAGCCTCCCAAATTGCTGGGATTACAGATGTGTACCACCATGCCTAGTTAAGATCCATCTATTAATTTTAGCTAACATTTTCTGTACAAATACTAGGACAGGTATGGCAAAGACTTAAGCTTGGTAGCCTTTCATACAGGGTAAGTTGTCTGCAGGTGTCCCAGTGTATCAATCTCTCAAATGAAGTTTGTTCAATAAATTCAACAATAGGTGCTGGTGAGATGGCTCAGTGGTCTAAAGCACCTACTTAGAACAAGCTTCGCAAAAAAGCACAGGGACCACGGTTCAATCCCCCAGCACCACATGCCAGCCAGCCCCGCCCCCTGGTAGACTGAGCTGGCTACACACACACACACACACACACACACACACACACACACAAATAAATAAAAAAAATACTTAAAAAAAATAAATTCAACAATAAAGGTTGGGTATGGTGGTACAGACCTGTAATCCCAGCAACTAGGAGGCTGAGGCAGGAAGATCACAAGTCAGAGGTCTGCCTGGTCAATTTAGCAACTAAGCTAGACCCTGCCACAAAATAAAAAATAAAAGGCTGGGCATGGTGGCATGTGCCTGTAATCCCAGCACTCAGGTGGCTGAGGCAGCAGGACCCCCCATGAGTTTGAGGGCAGCCTGGGCTACATCTCAACAAAACAAAATGAAACAAAACACAAAACAAAATGTACGAAGAATGTAGCTAAGCAGAACATCTGCCTATCATGCATGAGGCCCCCATTTTTTTTCTTTTGGCAGAACTGGGGATTGAATTCAGGCCCTTTTGCTTGCCAGGGAAGTACTCATTCCACTGAGCCATCTCCCTACCCCCCCCCCCCCCCCTTTTTTTTTTTTTGCAGAACTGTGGATTGAACTCTGGCTCTTGCTCCTGCCAGGGAAGAGCTTATTCTACTGAGCCATCTCCCTGACCCCCAAGAGGCCTTGAGTTCAATCTCCAACAACCAAAATACCTACGAACTGCCTACAGCTTGACATGACTTTGCTGTTTTGTAGCATGAACATTTTATTTGGGATACGATAAGAATTTGGGGAGAAAACAGAATTTTTTTTTTTTTTTTTTTGGCACAATTGGGGATTGAACTCAGGCCCTTGCACTTGCCAGGCAAGTACTTATTCTACTGAGCTATCTCCAGCCCCAGAATTTCTTTTGTAAACTAATGTTCTATACCATCTTCCCAACCAGAGAAGTCAAGATAAAGGGAAAAATGATAAAATTCAAATTCTGAGGAAAGGGGAGGTTCCAGGTCACTGGGATCCTACTGTGACCTCAGTCTCCAGGGCAAGCAAACAACTGACCTTTCTCATGTTGAAGCCAACTGTTCTCTAAATAATATTGAATGCAACTTTCAAACTCCTTTAGGTTGTAGTTAGAAACCAGGATGGGAAGAAAGGGATCCAGGGCATCAAATCCTTCCTGGAGGAGGAACAGGATGAGGGTGCAGCATCAGTTATGTGACTGGCTGGCAGAGGGAGACATTCTCGTGCGCAGTTTCTTCATCCTCCCTGACCCCTCCTGCAGGCTGCTGGTGCTCCCCACTATCAAGGGCAGCTGGGTGTGGTGGTGCATGCCTGTAATCCCAGCACTGGGGAGGTTGAGGCAGGAAGAATCCTTGTTAGTGCCAGGACAGCCTGGGCTATAAAATGAGCTCAAGGCCAGCCTGAACCATGTAGAGTGACATTGTCTTTTTTTTTTTTTCCAGAACTGGGGATTGAACTCAGGTCCTTGTGCTTGCCAAGCAAGCACTTATTCTACTGAGCTTTCTCCCTGGCCCCGAGACACTGTCTTAAAAAAAAAAAAAGAGGTTGGGGGAAGCCACTTGTTTGACTAGGTTTTTTTTTGGGGGGGGGTGTTGGGGAGTCATTTCATGCACTTAAAAGCAGAAAATCAAGATGAATGGGGAAAAAGACCTTAAATGGACCTTAAATGGACATAAGCTAAAATAATGTATCAATCAAACTCTTGAAGTAACTATAACATTGAAGGGAGAAGAAATTAAGCCAAGTAACATCTGAACATAGTGTCTGGACTACTGATCTTTAGGCTTAAGACAAAAACTAAATATTGAATTCTTAATTTTCTGATTTGAGAGTTGGCAAATCTGAAAGTATTTCTAACCACATGCTAGGACTGCAGTCTTAGAATATGCTGTTGCTAATGAGAACAGATTTCTTAAGTCTCAGAAACGGGGAAGGGAGAAGGGTTTAATCCAGGCGGTGATACTAGCATGCAAAGGCATGTATCCGTATGAATTCCAAGTTCGTAATTAACAATATTCCTCATGTTAACTAAGCATTAATATCTGATCAATCCTTGCCTTCCCTGCTATCACTATTCTCTTGTTCAGTGGCTACTTTTTTTTTATTTTTAAAAAATTTTTTGGTGGAACTGGGGATTGAACTCAGGCCCCTGCGCTTGCCAGGGAAGCGCATACTCCACTGAGCCATCTCCGCATCCCTCAGTGGCTACTTCTGTAGGCAGGCAAGGCAGGGGGAGGCTGACTGGGGCTGCCATTCATGTGCTCTAGTTTTCAAGGCTGATTCTTTCCCAGCTAGGTGCTGTTTCAGGGAAACACATTAATTACATAAGGAAAATAATTACTGAGGAGATGCAGATGGACACCACCTCCCAGAGTGTTTAAAATGAACACCTTGAGTAAAGTGATATTCCCTGTTCCCCTGATGTGATGTGCCAAGAAGACACGTGCAAGAGAAAATGTCAGATAAGCAAGCCCAGAAAATAAGCTACAAAATAACCGACACATACAGTACTTTTCAAATGCATAAACCCTAAAATAATAAAAGACAAAACCATATTTCTCGGACTAAGAAATCTGTTCTCGTTAGCAACAGTATATTCTAGGGCCTTAGTGCTAGCATATGCTTAGAAAGTTTCAGAATTACCCCATTAAAGAGACACGACACGTGTGCCACCAAACCCAGTGTCTTGGTGGCCCACTTAGCACACCCGGGGGTGGGGCCAGCGCGGCACGTGGGGCAGGGGATCCAACCCTGGGCCTTGTGCTTGCTTAAGCAGGTGCTCAGGCCGCTGAGCTGACCAATTATTGGGGATTTTTTTTTTTTTTTCCTGTATTGGAATACTGCATTACCCAGCAAAATCAAAATAAATTTTATAGATTAAAGTATTATACTGATATCAATTTCTTGACTTGGTAATTTTGCTCTTCATATTTAGTTAGAACCTCTCTTTTTATTTATTTTTTATTATAAAGGAGACATTAGGGCTGGGTGAGGTGGCAGATGCCTAGAATTCCAGCACTTGGGAGGCTGAGGCAGGAGCATTACTCCTGTGAGTTTGAGACCAGCCTCAACTATGCACAGCAAGACCCTGTCTAAAAAAGAAAAAAAAAAAAAGCCAGGAATATAGCTAAGTGGCATAAGCACCTGCCTGGCAAGTGCAAGGTTCCAAACTTGATCCCCAGTACCACAAACCAGAAAAAAAAGAAAAAGAAAGAAAGAAAGAAGAAAATATGATAAAATTAAGACTTTTGGAATCTTGGTTAAGGGAACAAAAGAACATGATTTTTCTCTAAATTTAAAATTATATCAAAACAAATAGATTCATAAAGCGATATTCCTTTAGACATAATGTTTATCCAAAGGGAAATAAATTTCTCCATGACTTGACCTTGCCCAGTAGCTCATGGGGCAGATAGGCTTTTGAGGGCTTAAAGAGAGATCCCGTCTGGCTCAAAGTTAACACAGTGGCACCTCCACACTGTAAGAAAGCAAATAAGGCATGGTTAAAAAGAGCTCAAATAGACAGTATCAATTTATCATACACATTTTTGAATATTTATTTATTTTTATTTATTACATTTATTTATTGTGTGTGTGTGGCCAGCTCAGCCCACCAGGGGGCGGGTCTGGCTGGCATGTGGTGCTGGGGATCGAACCGCAGTCCCTGTGTTTTGCCAAGCTTGTTTCAAGTAGGTGCTTTAGACCACTGAGCCATCTCTCCAGCCCCTATCATACACATTTTTGGATTTCAAACTCTTTTCCAAAGATAATACAAAGATACCATTAACAATTGCAAATAAAATAAAAGTAGGCCAGATAGTCCATGCGTGTCATTCCAGCATTGTGGGAGGCTGAGACAGGAGGGGCACAAGCTCTAATTCGCCTAGGGAATTTAGCAGGACACTATCTCAAAAAGGGGGAGGGAGCTGAGGACATAGCTCAGTGCCAAGGATCTGAGTTCAAATGCCAATGCCCTGTCATACACACGTGTACATGTGTTGATATTTAGATAAAATAGTTTTAATAAGTTTGCTGCAGTCAAACTGTAAGATTGGAAATCAAATACATAAATTTTAATCCAAACTGCACTTTTTAGGAGTTAAGTAAAAGATTATTCTGGCCTTAAAAATCAAGAAATGGGGCTGGGGAGATGGCTCAGTAGAATAAGCACTTGCTTGGCAAATGCAAGGGTCTGAGTTCAATCCCATGTTCCGCAAAAAAAAAAAAAAAAAAAAAAATCAAGAAACTGGGGCTGGCCGAATAGCTCAGTGGATTAAAGCACCTGCTTAGGCAGACGCATCGGCTGGGGTTTAACCCCCAGCATGCTGTGCTGGCCTCGCCCCTGGGGTGTGCTGAGACAGCTATTGAGATTGGGCGTGGTGTCATGCATGCCTGTAATCCCAGCTCTTTCAGAGGCTGAACACAGGAGAATCACTGAGTCCAATCTACATAGTGAGACCCTGTAGACCCTTACTAAAATACAAAATCAGTCAATCAAGAGACTGCAAAGTGAAGTAGTTAATACAAAAAGACAAGTATTCCTGAAATATACTAAGCATTGTGCTCTTACCCAATCATTCCTCAGCATCTTCCTCAAATTGTAAATAAGTGCCAGCTCCTCTGGCGCAATCTGTAAGTTGTCAATATGACAGAGAGAGATCGTTACTTGTTCTCCAGGAAGCACCCAGGAGACAACTGAACTGACAGCAGCAGCCTGCAACTCCTACATGATCCTGGTCCCTGAGTGAATGTCTGGGGGATCAGTTACAGCTGCTGGCCCAAGAACCACCACGCTTGTTCCCAAGAGAGAAGCACCAAACCCACTCCCATCCTTAATGCTTCTGTCTGGTCTTCTCCATGGAGACCATGAAGCCTCACGTTGAAAAAATATCTAGTCAGGCAAGAAAACAGCTGCTGTCCTCCTGTACAAGACACTGCAACTTGGTTTACAATGCATGGTGGAACCCTTGGCATCAGTGTCTCCCCCTGTGCTGTTTAACTGTCTGCATTACCTCCACCCTGCAGGGCAAGCAAGTACTCTGCATGGCCCACACAGCTAAGTTCTGGCCTCTGTACAGCATGAAACCAGAAATCGGGGAAACCAGTAGAAAGAGGACCAGTCCTCCTACCGGGCTTTTATCTCCTCGCTTCAGTGTGGTCCTCCCCCAGAGAGCATTGACACCATCCACAGCCACTAGGAGGTGAAAAAGCCCTGAAGAGCTTTGCCTTTTGAGCTCCTTCAGGACAATCCCGACTGCGTCTGTGGCGTTCTTTACACGGGTGATGCCCTGTGAGGGAGACAGCAGCTCAGAGTGCTTCTGGGGCCTTCTCGGGCTATGACCCCTACACAGTTGGTGCCTTTTCCTGTACCTGTTCCACCACTTCTCCCAGAGGACTGCCTTTCTCAGTGCTTTCTCTCTTATTCCAGACATACTTCTCTTGAACTTTTATCTAAAAAAAAAAAAAAAAAAAGCAAAGAAAATAAAACTAAAAATAGTTGAACCCAGCCAGAGTTGAGAAGACAGAAGGCTAAGGTTAGTAGGAATCAGTTTAAATCTATTTCACAAATCTTGTAAGAGATTTGATATAAACCAGACCTGGTGACATATGCCTGTAATCCAAGCACTATGGAATGGAGGGGTGAGGCAGGAGGATCTCAAGTTCAAACTTGGCCTGGGCAATTTAAAGAGACCTTGTCTCAAAAAGAAAAATACAAAATGTCTGTGGATATAGTTGAGTGAGAAGGCCCTCAAATAGCTCAGCAGATTAAAGCACCTGCAAGCAAGAGCAGGGGCCAGGGTTTGATCCCCAGGGCCTACTGTGCTGGCCCCGCTCCCAGGGAGCTCTGACACGGCAATTGAGACTGGGCATGGTGGCGCATGCCTGTAATCCCAGCTCTTGGGAGGCTATAAAACAAGTGGATCACTGTGAGTCTAATCTAGGGAAGTGCTTATTCCACTGAGCCATCTCCCCAGCCCCCAAAATTGAGTTGGCTGACTTGTTAATTTTTTTTTTTTTTTTTTTTTGGCAGTACTAGGGATTGAACTCAGGACTGTGCGTTTGCCAGAGATCTAATCTAGTAGTGAAACAAAACTAAAAATGGGGGTGGTATACAAGCTTTTAGCCTACCTCCCCTGGGAACATTGAAAAAAAAAAAATACACAAGGGACTCGACTATACAGGTCCAGAATGAGATATTGGTAGCTGCCATTTTATTTTAATTTAGTTAGCCCCCCCTTTTATGTTATTTGGTACAGGGTCTGTAGGGTCTACAGGGTCTCACTATGTAGACTGGACTCGTAGTGATTCTGTTTTCAGCCTCCCAAGTGCTGGGATTACAGGTGCGTGCCACCATGCTCAGTCTCAATGGCTGTCTCAGTATGCTGCAGGGGCGGGGCTGGCACAACATGCTGGGGATTAAACCCTGGCCCCTGTGCTCTGCCTAAGCAGGTACTTTAGTCTGCTGAGCTATCTGCCCAGCCCTTATTAGTCTTTACCAGGTTCCTGATAAGTGGCCCCAACTGGGTTTGCACTTGGTTTCTTCTAAGCCTCCTGAGTGTTGGGATACATGTATGTAGTACTATGCCCATTTTTTTTCCACTATGCTTTTAATAAGTGCCCATTGCAGGGTGGAGAACATATGGCATGTGTGCTGCAGCGGGCTGTTGGGTGTCACTGAAAGCTCTGAAAGTTTGGCCACCACTGAGTCTTTACATTCAAGAGTCAAAAAGTCCTAGAGGTCACATCCAAGAAACCAGAGTGAAAAATAGTTTTTCCAGTACATTTCAGGTTCCACAAAGGTCTGGAGAACATTACATAGTTAGAAATTTGCTTTTGGTATACTTCAGGCTATACCTTGGAAAAGCCAGTGAATCAATATGAATTTTTCTATCTACTAAATGGGAATTTTACTCTTGCCCTTTTATTTTACATAGATGAACGAGTTTTGAGTTGTGAGCCCACTATAAACAAAATATATGAAAGACATACAAGTGTTAATATGTAGGTTTGTTTTTTTTTTTTGTGTGGAACCGGGGATTGAACTCGGGTCCTTGAGCTTGCCAGGGAAGTGCTTATTCTACTGAGCCATCTCTCTGGCCCAAGTGTTAATATGTATTCCCAAATACACTGCAGTTCTGCATAGTTTCCCCAGCACTTGAGGCACAAAGAAGGTATAATCTTGTATAAAGAAGCCTGGTATCAAACTTCCAGCAGTTTAGTCACCTGGCTTAGGAAGCATTCATTTGTAGTTTTGAAATTCTTCAGCCAGGTGGAAGCCTCTAGAGGTTGATCAAAGCGTTGTTTGTTGTATGTAGACTGTAGAAGTTCCCGACAATTTTTCACCCAAAGATGAGCTTAAAAAAAAAAAGATACACAAAAAAACCAAACTGGGCAGGAACTGACAATGTTTAATTAAAATAACTCTATGCGCCTTTAAGTTACAGGAAATACATATATATTTTTGTTGTTGCCTTCATAGTCTTTATAATTTTTATTCATTTTAAAGGAAATATATTTTATTCATGTCATAGATTCTAAGCAAGTGCTCTACCATTGAGTGACATTCCAAGTCTTTTTTTTTTTGAGGAACCAGGGATTGAACTCAGGCCCCTGCACTTGTCAGGCAAGCACTTATTCTACTGAGCTATCTTCCCGGCCCCCCAAGTCTTCCACATATATTTATTCCAGTCCTCTGGCTTCTTTCTGGTTCATCTTATATTAAACATTATCTTTACAATTAATGCCGAAGAGCTGGGTGTGGGAGTACAGGCCTGGAATCCTAGCGCTCAGGAGACTGAGACAAGAGGACTGCCCCGAGTTCAAGGTCAGTCTGAACTACATAATGAGACACTGTCTCAAAATTCAATGCATAAGACACACCAAGTAGATTACATATTACTTCTGCCTACTGACGGTTTTGTTTAAATTTTAAGTTTTTTGATTTAAATGTATATATCTGGTACAGTGTCTCACTATGCAGCTCGCACAGCATGCGATGCTGGGGATCAAACCTGGTACTGTGCTTGCAGGACAGGTGCTTAGACTGCTGAACTAAGTTTTTTTTTTTCCTACTGAGTTTTAAAATCTGAATCAGAAAATGTGGATGTCCATAACAAAGAACAAAAAAGAATGTATGTGAAGTATGAGGGTTCAAGTTTATACTATTCAAGTTGACAACTCTAAAATGCTGATAAACAAAAAGCTTTATGGGTACTTAAAATCTGCTAGCAACAGACAAAATAGTGATTCATGGCTCTAGTCCCAGCTACTCAGGAGGCGAGGAATGAGGGCTGCTTGAGCCCAGGTGGTGAAGACCAGACTGGGCAATACAAGACCCGTCTTTTTTTGGGGAGGTGGTGGTGGGGATGACTGAGACAGGGTCCTGAAGTTGAACTCATGGCAATCTTCTGCCTCAGACTCCTGAGTGCTGGGATTATATGCAGGTGTCACTATGCTCAGCTAGGACCCATCTGTTAAACAAAACAAAGCAAAAACAGAATCCTGTGGTGACCTCTAAAGTGGGACTTTGTATTCTTGGGGCATCAAATATCAAAGCAAAAACTTACGAGTCAAAAGACTTCACGATGAGGGAGGGTGGGGAGATGACTCAGTGGAATAAGCGCTTCCCTGGCAAGCGCAAGGGCCTGAGTTCAATCCCCGGTTCAAAAGACTTCAGGAACCTTTAGCTAAATTTTCTGTTGTCATATGCATTACATCTTGCAATCTGCTTGGCATTAACATTACAAAGAGTTCTTGATGAGCCAGCTCAGACCACCTGGCATCTGGAGCAAGGGCTCTCCTTTTAGTTAGATGAGGCTGGTCAGAAAGCAAAAAGTGGGGCTGGTGAGATGGCTCAATGGTCTAAAGCACCTACTTAGAACAAGCTGAACAAAGCAAAGGGACCACGGTTCAATCCCTCAGCACCACATGCCAGTCAGCCCCACCCCCTGGTGGGCTGAGCTGGCCACACACACACACACACACACACACACACACATAAATAAATAAATAAATTTTTAAAAAAAAAATAAAAAAAAAAGAAAGCAAAAAGTCACAATGCTGCCTTAGTAACAGAACTAGCTTGATACGGATAAGAAAAGAAGTTCTTACCATCTGGAATGTGCAAGATTAGCCAGCCGTGTTTTGCACAGAAATGAGTAACATGGCAAAGACTGAGGGTTTTTCCTGTTCCTCTTTCTCCATCTAAGGTACTTGTTAAAGAAAACGTCATCAGTCGATGCACACCGGCATTTCTATTCACTCAGGAGAGGAGAAAACACTAGCTAAAGGTGTCCCAGGCAGGCAGGAAAGGATACAGAGAACATACCGGACAGCTGGGTGAGCAAAATTAGTGTTTTTCAGGTGATGCAGAAGCTCTAGGGCTGGTTTCCTTACCATCAGGCAAGCTTCGCCAAATGTCTTCACCTAAGAAAACGAGTGGCAGGAGGCGGGGTGGGGGCTTCTAACCACTTGTATTCACAGTAAACCAAAGCAGCAACCTACAGCAAACTGCATTTGGTCTGGTTCCGGGCATCAAACTCAGGACCTTGAGCTTTCCAGGCAGGCCCTGTGCCACTGAGCTATATTCCTGGCCCCAGAATTGCATGTTTTTAATTTATTCAGTTAGGCAAGGTTGAGTTGCTATTTAATTTGAAAATCAACCCATATAATTTAGCTTAAACACATTATTCTGGACATAATAACCCAACAGTCAGCTTTTGAGTCTTCTCATTGTTACTATTTTTTGTCTTTTTGAGACACGGTCTGTCTCTGCAGTTCAAGGTGGCCTTGAGCTCATTTTGTAGCTCAGGCTGGTCTTGAACTTGCAAGGATCCTCCTTCCTCACTCAGCCTCCCAAGTGCTGGGATATTCTTTTTTTCTTTTTGTATTTTAGTAAGGGCATACACGGTCTCACTATGTAGATCGTTCTCATAGTGATCCGCCTGTGTTCAGCCTCGCAAGCGCTGGGATTACAGAAGCGCGCCACCACACCCAGTCTCCATTGTTGTCCTAGTGTGCCCCAGGGGCGGGGCTTGCAAAGCATACTGGGGATCAAACCCTGGCTGCTGCGTCTGCCTAAGCAGGTGCTTTGATCCGCTGAGCTATTTGGTTGGCCCTCCAAATGCTGGTATTGCAGGTGTTCGCCACCATGCCTGGTTTGATTATGGACTCAATAATCAGTTTAAATTTACGATTAGTTGGTTGGTATTACTATAACCATCTATCTTTGTCTCCAGATTTACATACATGGCAGTTCGAGATATGATCAGCTGCCTCACAATTATGAAGCCAAACCTCACACCACCCACATGTGATACATCAGTGTTTGTTCCTTTGCCACAAGAATACTCTGCTAGAAAAATGTAGGAAGCACTGACTACATTACATAAAGGTGATTAGCAAATTAGGTATTTAACTCTACTGCTAATAAATATCTAACAAATACTATTTTGTAAGCATTATCAGATGAAGCTGGAAAAAAAAATTTTGTTTTGGTGGTGACTGAACCTAGGACTAGACTGCTTGCTAAACCTGTGCTCTACCACTGAGCTACAGCCCTGCCCCAGTGTCTATATTTGAAAGAAATCTCACTATAAGAGTAATCTGATTGTATAGGAGCTTACAGCTAAGTCATTGTGCCTGGCTAAGAGGCAATCATTGCAACCAGCAAGTGGCCCGTAGTGGGAGTATATCCCTGTAGTCCCAGGAGTTTGAGAGCAGCCTGGGGAACAAAGTGAGATTCAACTTCCAATCCCAGGTCAAGGAAAAAAAAAAAAAGCAAGGACTAGTCAGAAGAATAATTATGCCAATAACATAAAGTATTCTTGCAGTTAATCACAAATTTTTCCAGTGGCTATAAAATAACTCAGGGCCAGGGATACAGCTCAGTGGCACAAGTGCCAGCCTGGCAAGCATAAGGTCCTGAGTTTGAGTCCTGGGACAAAAAAAACCACAAAAAACAAAAAACAAAAAAAAACAAAAAACAAAAAACAAAACACAAAACAAAACCAAACATAAAAATAAAATCAAATCCAAGACCAATTTCCCATTTGCTTAATTTTTTCCCTTTAGTTGTAGGGCTGTACTCATGGCTTTGTGCATGCCAGGAAAATACTCTACCAGTAAAGCTACCATCCCCAGCCCCAAGATTCTCTGGGTTGTAGTTGAGGCCACAAAAATGACATTTTCTGAAATTCCATAAGAATGAGGAACAAGGGCTGGGGAGATGGCTCAGTGGAATAAGCACTTTCCTAGCAAATGCAAGGGTCTGAGTTCAATCCCTGGTTCTACCAAAAAAAGAATGAGGAACAAAGATGAACTTAACCAAATTATTATTTCTATTTATTTATTTAACTAACTTGAGTTGATTTTTCTTTTCTTTTCTTTTTTTTTCTGAGGTGATTTTTTGCCTTAGCTCTGGAGTGGTAGGATTACAGGTGTCTACCATGATACCCAGCCTTCATTTCTCTTCAGACTGGAATATTAGGATTTTTCGTGCATGTGCAGCATGTTGTTCATTTTGCTATAGTAAATATTAATTCACTCAAAATAATAATAATAATTAAAAAACAATAATAATAATTTTTTTTGCAGAACCAGGGATTGAACTCAGACCCTTGCGCTTGCCAGGTAAGCGCTTACTCTACTGAGCCATCTCCCTGACCCTCAAAATAATTATTTGAATGCCTAAGTTTCTAGTCTTGTTGGGTAACACAAGGAAAAATATATGCCTATATTTATTAATATACAAATATTTATACCAGGCTCCAAAAAAGGTTTTACCTAGTTAAAAGATAACGGCTCAAATAAAGCTATTATACTATTCACAAAAAAATAATAGCTCAATTTCTGTTTTTCAGATTCCAATGTTAATTTTAGACGTGATGGCCATGAAGTTATGATCTGGGCTCCCGCAGTTCTCCCCGGTGCAGCACCTGCATTACAAAGCGAGGAGGCAGGCCATGCGGAAACACAGTCTTCAGCTCCTGGAGGGGGATGGTGTAGTGCTGGCCCTCGTGCTGCTCCCCGTGCTGGGCCTAGAAAGCAATGCACACAGGTGGAACAGGATACCAAGTGGGAAAAGCTCCAAGAGAGAATAGGGTTTGCCAGACACACTGATTTAGCCAAAAATGTTGGTTGCTGGCTTGAGTTTCTGATGTGTTCTGTACTATAAAGGCGGGGATCTAAATGACAAAGCCAGTTGTTGAGCAGAGTAAACAAATCCTACATGCGAGTAACGGAGACAGTCCTTGCCATTTGGATTTTTCTGTGCTGTGGAGAGATGCTCTGGTCATGTGATAAGATAATCTGCACCCTGCTGTTTCCATAGAAACCCCAAACGAATTGGTAGATAAAGGGACTACAATTACAGAGGAAGCTGAAAAACACTAATAATTTCATTCATTTATTGTATTTCATTTTGTGCTTGTGAAAATAGATGAATGGTAAGAGACATTTAAAACATATAAGCTAACATGATTTGGGGGAGTAGTGTATCATTTTTCATTTCCACATAAGCTCTTTTCAATTTTTATTTTGTTTAGTTTTTTTGAAACATGGTCTCACATAACTCAGGCTGGCCTTGAACTTATTATGTGGCCCAGCCCAGCCCTGATGACACAGCCACCCTCCCACCTCAGCCTCCCAGGTGCTGGGACTCCACATGTCCCACTCCACACAGCCACATTTAGGATGGGCAGACACAGAGGGGAGGGCAGGGACACAAAAGCTGGCAGGTATCTGCACAGTATAGCACAGAACACACAACTAACTGTAGTATTGAGAGGTAGCAGCAGGGATGCAGGAGAAAGGAAGACAAATCCAGTCTCACAGGACCACAGTCACAAAAGGAAGCACTCTATGCTAGTGTAATCTTGGCTTCTGCCATCAAACTTCCCTAGAGATACTGCTTTTTTTCAAAACAAATCAATTTAGCATCTTCTCTTTACACACACTAAGAAACATCTTTATCAAGGTGGGAAATAATACCAGTTTGGTTTTTAGAAAAGTGAGGCTTGACCTGCCCTATTGTATAATTTTGGGGCAAGTATGCAAAAAACAGCGAGGGTCCAACTAGAAAAGAGATTAATGTACTGTGGATTTCTTAGGACTGTCCATTCCATACTAGGGCTTGGTAAGCTAAGGCCATCTCTTTTTGTATTGTGAAGTACAGGGCATCAAACCCAGAGCATGCTTGCACATGCCTGGCAAGCACTCTGCCACCGAGCTATAGCTTCAAGCCCTAGTTACTTGTTTTATACATATTTATTGGAATATAGCTGTCCATATTTACTAGTAGCAGAGGTAAACAACTATGACAGAGACTATTATAATCTATAAACCTAAAATACTTACTTTCTAGTCCTTTAAGGAAGTCTGGCATACATGATACAATAAGGTCATTGTAAGTGTTAGGTTTATCTTGCAGGGATTTTTTTTTTTTTGAGACAGGGTCTTTTTTTTTTTTTAAATTTTATTTATTTATTTATTTATTTGTGTGTGTGAGTGTGTGTGTGTGTGTGTGGCCAGCTCAGTCCACCAGGGGGCGGGGCTGGCTGGCATGTGGTGCTGGGGGATCGAACCGTGGTCCCTGTGCTTTGCTGAACTTGTTCCAAGTAGGTGCTTTAGACCACTGAGCCATCTCACCAGCCCGAGACAGGGTCTTGCTATGTAGTTCAGGCTGGCCTGGAACTTACCATGTAGCCCAGGCTTGCTTTGAACTTCCAGTTCTCTTCCTGCCTCAGCCTCCCAAGTGCTGGGATTACAGGCATGCGCCACCACACCTGGCTCCTTGCAAGGAATTAAAACTAGTTTTTACTATGTCCTTACTTTACATTCAGCAAGACCCTTGGGCTTAGGTGAGTCCACTGGAGGTGCAGTGGACAGAGCTGAGTGCTTTCTGTTATGGCTGAGTTGGCCAGGTTTTCAGAGCATTCCCTCGGGTGCACTGTCTACTTGATTCTATGTAAGCCTGCTTAGCTTCTTTACATTGTACTTCCTTTGATGCAAACAAAGAAGATACAACACAAAGCATAATCCCTGGAAAACTCATATATACATTAGCAACTCACCGGGTCACTTTCATTGGTACGGGAAATAGTCTTGGGCCTCTCAACTGGAACCTGGGTATCCGGATGAGCAGCAATGCTTTGGGGTGTCTGGGTTCCCATGTGCAAAAAACATCGAGGGTCCACCTAGAAAAGAAGCTGGTGTAGTACTATGGAATTATCAGGCTTTTTCTGTTTGCTACAACACTGAGGATGCAAATCATATCTAGAACAGGGAAGTATGTCACTAATGTGTTTTAAGTCCATGGAAAAAGTTTATTATTTATAATTTACTAAATCCATTCATCTCACTCATTCTCTCACTCTGCTGGAGCTTGTGAACTATATTCTTAGGACTTTGTCCCACATGGAAATAAACAATTCTTTTAGATTGTTTAGGAACACAGCACAGTCATTATAACCTAAAACAGGAAACTATATTATTCTTTTTTAGATGAGGATGCACTATGTCATCCAGATTAGCTTCAAACTCCTGGATTCCTTTTTTATTTTTATTTTTTGCGGAACCAGAGATTGAACTCAGGCCCCTGCACTTGCCAGGGAGGCACTTATTCCACTGAGCCATCTTCCCGGCCCCAGGATTCTTTTTTTTAATAGTTATTTTATTTATTTGTACTTAGGACAGGGGGTACAGGGTGAACAGGGTCTCTGTGTAGATTGGACTCATAGTGATTGTCCTGTTTACAGCCTCCTAAGTGCTGGGATTGCAGGCGGGCGCCACCACAGCAGGCCTGGGGTTCAAACACCTGGCTCCTGCATCTGCCTAAACAGGTACTTTAATCCGCTATTTGGCCAGCCCAAACTCCTGGATTCTAAGCAATTCTTCCATCTCAGCCTCACAAGTACAAGTATCACCACCACCACCACCACCACCACATTTTGTCTGTGGAGACTGAACTTGGGGACTTCGCACTGAGCTATTCTAAGACAGGTTCTAAGTTGCTGAGTTGCTAAGCTTGGGTTCAAACTTTCTACCCTCCTGCCTCAGCCTCCCAATGCACTGGGATTATAGGTGTGTGACACTACACCTCACTAGGATATTTCTTTAAATGCACTTGCTCGCTGTGATGCTGCCAGTAGAGCAATTCTCAGCAATCCAGTAATCAGTCACCCTACTCAGGGGTAGTGCAGTGTCCTGTTTGATTGATATGACTGTACACCTTCACATCATCTTGTGAGCCACACTCTGGAAGAGAAGCGTGACCAAGGAGTATATGAAGCATGCAGCTAGGTGAAAGTAGCTGTTCTTCAGGTAGCTCGGTGAACTGCACACAGAACTCCCAAACGAGGGAAAAGGGGAAGGATGAGAACTCAGGGGACTATAATTTTTTTTGTATTTAGTGCAGGGTCTACAGGGTCTCACTACACAGATTGGACTTGAAATGATTCTCCTGTTTTCAACTTCCCAAGTGCTGGGATTACAGGCGTGTGCCACCATGCCCAGTCTCAATTGCTGTCTCAGTGTACCCTGGGGGTGGGGCTGGTACCACAGGCTGGGATCGAACTTTCTCTAACCCCTGTATCTGCCTAAGGAGCTTTAATCCACTGAGCTATCAGCTGGCCCTAGAGGATTACAATCTTTATGTAGAAGTGAAAAAGGTGTCAGCTCTGAGGAAAAGATTAAGGTGTAAATCCAGGAGCAGAAGGATGTGGGAGCTGGGTATAGTATGAGTCACTTGATGATAGGTCAATAATATAAATGCTACCTGTATTTACACTCAGCCTCACCACACAATTTTTGGAGTTTTGTCTGAGATAAGAGCTTGCTCTGGAACCCTGGCTGGACTTGAACTCATGATCTTCATTTCACCGCGCGGAGTGCTGTGACTATAGGTATGCACAATGGCCAGCTCCAAGCAACTTCCAGAGTGCAGAAACAGAAATTATTTTTATACTACCGTTCCTCACACTTACACCCAACCCAAATGTTGCATGTTCTCCATGCAGACTTGCCACACACTTCTAGTCAAAAGCACATTTATCTTTCTTGCTAATAGCACCTTCTTTTCATTGCGTGACAGTTGTACTCTGCCTGGAACTGCACACACAGCCTGTTCACTGAGCAGCCTTTAATGCTGGGTAGTGCAATATTTTACATGTATTATATTTGACCACAGAATCCTTGAAGATGGGTAGACTATTACTTTCTCTGTTTTCTGACAGGGAAAACAAGGTTCAAAGAACTTAAAAATTTTGACTATTGGTCAGAATTGGAACCAGAATTCACATCCAACTTTGACTCTTGAATCTCTATTTAAAAATTACCTAATTTTATCTTATATATGTTTGTCACCCAATCTAGGCCGCACACTTACAAGAATCAGATTCTATTCATCTTTGTATCTTACTTCAAAAATCTAAAGTAATATAGTTTTCTCCTGCAGTACTGGGGACTGAAGTCGGGGCCTTCACACTGAGCTATATCCCCCTGCAACTTTGACTGCCTTTATGTTTTAAGACAGGGCCTTGCTAAGTTGCCAGATTATCTAGGCTACCCTGAACTTCCCTGCCTCTCAGCCCACTGAGTGCTACGATTACAGGCATGGATACTATGCCCAACTCATACTACAAATAAGTACAGGTGTCTGAGAATAACTTTTCCTTCGGTGAATGTGGTGGCATAAACCTGTAATTCTAGCTACTCAGGAAGCTAGGCAGGACCACTGAAAGGTTGATCCTGTCTGGGCCAGGGAGATAGCTCGGCAGACTGAGTGCCAGCCTAGCAACTGCAAGGACTGGGGTTCAATCCCCAGTACTGCATGCTGTGTCAGCCCCATGCTGACTTGGCAACTGAAACCCGGCATGGTGGTGCATGCATGTAATCCCAGCACTGGTGGCTGAGACAGGAGGATCATTACAAGTGCCAGCTGCATAGCGAGACCCTGTACCAAATAAATAAACGAGTAAATAGGAAAGAAAGCTTGATCCTGTCTGAAAATAAAATGAGGTGGATGCAGGCTAGACACATAGGTCAGCTGTCAAGTGCTTGCCTCTCCACCAAAAAAAGAATCTTTCTGTGAAGACTTGTAATGAAGGAGTATGTAGAGCATCTAGCTAAAGGAAAGTAAATAAACTACTTTATAGGTGCTTTACTAAACTACACATGAAAACCTCTGAATCCTAAGTTGGAGCCATTTCTTTTTTTTTTTTTAAACATTTATTTAGTGTGTGTGTGTGTGTATGTGTGTGGCCAGCTCAGTCCACCATGGGGTGGGGCGGGCTGGCATGTGGTGCTGGGGGATTGAACCGCGGTCCCTGTGCTTTGCCAAGCTTGTTCCAAGTAGGTGCTTTAGACCATTGAGCCATCTCACCAGCCCCATGGAGATTTCAATAAAAAGAAACAGCAGAAAGTAACAGGGACCTCCAACTTTGAAAAAGTAGGACTGTAAATTGAGACAGCAGAGAAAATCATGTTCACCAAATACTCCTCTTTATGGCCTCCTGTGATAGGCAAGAATCATGTGATTACTTCTGACTAAACAGCTCTGAGTGGAAATTACTGTCATTTGTAGTCAAAATCATTTGAGAGTGGATAGAAATTCTCCCTCTTCTCCAAAGCTAAATGGCGCATCTATAGTTCTACTTACTGGGGGGTTGAGGCAAGAGGATTTTAGGACAGCCTGGGCAACACAGTGAGATGTTCTCTCAAAAAAAAGAAAAAGCTATATGTGGTGACGGTATTTCTCTTGAGATATGTTTCTAATCTTTTTTTTTTTTTTTTTTAATTTGACGGAACCGGGGATTGAACTCAGGCCCCTGTGCTTGTCAGGGAAGTGCTTATTCCGCTGAGCCATCTCCCCGGCCCCCGATGTTTCTAATCTTGATCCTAATCTTATATTCCTAATCTTGCCTGTAAAATCACTATTTTCCAAAATTTAGGAGCAGCAAAAGTGATATCTATATCTATATATATATCTATATATCACGAACAAACAAGAATTAAGGGCTTGTCACCTCAGCAAAGCACCCTGAATTCATCTTCATACTAACACTATTCAGTTTTATCTACTGGACAGAAAGCTGTCTCTTTACGAAGTAGAGAAGGAACTACTTAAGGGCCACATGGTGGTGCTATTTTACAGTTCTCTGATGACTTTTTTAGATACACTTTGTGCAGGAAATTAAAAGCTAGCAAAATGGATTCCTTCTTAAAGAGTGTTACAAATGGCATCACCAGAGACTCCTTTCTAGGAAAAACCACCATATATACAAGTTCTTCTGTGTTGTTCCAGAATGAACATCATGCAGTTCCTTAAAGTACAGCATCTATGGGCCAATCTAGAAAGTCTTGCCCAACCAAACGAAAAACACCCATAAAAACCTTCTCACCAATGTCTTTATCTGGCCTCAGGTGTTTCTTGTCTGGTATTAAGGAAGACATGTTCACTTTCTAATATGATCAGTTGCAGCTTGAATCCCTTCCTCTTTTGATCTTTGCTTTTATTTCATTTTATATAATGGGTTATTTTACGTTTATAGGTTTTTCATAAATCTCAGTATGGAAAGGGATAGGAAAAGATTAAAAACAAAACAAAACAAAAACTCTTACAGGAGGAAAGGCTCCTGTCCTAGGAACTTGAATTTGTAATTGTATGATCTGGTGAGAGGAGCTAGGCCCTTCTCACTCAGGATTTAGCTCATAAAATGAAATGTCCCTAAAATAGTAATCATAATGGTGAAATGAGTTGTCCTAAAATAATGAGTACCTGCCATGTGTGAAGGTGCACACCTGTTAATTCCAGCACTCTGGGAGAGTGAGGCAGGAGGATGACAAGTTGGAGCCGAGCCTAGGCAATTTAGCAAGACTCCATCTGAAACAAATAAAACAAAACCTGCCAAGTATGCAACTCACTGAGAAGGGCCTGGATTCAATCACCTGTATTAAGAACAAACGGGCTGGTACAGGGACCACGATTCAATCCTCCAGCACCACATGCCAGCCAGCCCCACCCCCTGGGGCTGAGCTGGCCACACACACACACACACACGCACGCACGCACGCACGCACGCACACACGCACACACACACGCACACACGCACACACACACAAATAAAATTAAAAAAAAAAAAGAACAAACACATAAATTCTCAGGACCTGCCACATAGAAGGTGCTGAAAAACTACTTGGTGAAGAAATGAAAAGACCAGGCATGGTGGCACCTACCTGGAACCTCAGCACTCAGGAGGCTGAGGCAGGAGGATCAAAATGAGTTTGAGGCTAGCCTAAACTACAAAGTGAGGCCCTATCTCAAAACAAAACAAAATAAAACAAAACAATTGGCAACTTGTTTTTCTTTTAAATACTTTTTAAGGGATAATAATCAACAATAAGAAAAAAAATGTTTAACAAAAAGGGTAATAAATGAAAACAAGAAAAAAGGTAAGGGTAATGAATGAGACAAGAAAAAAAAGTTAATGAGGATAACCACAATCAAGCTTACCCATTTTTTTAGCGGGGAGGGGATGTTTAATGGCAATCAAATTCAGGGCCTTGTGCTTGCCAGACAGGTGCTTCCCATGTTTTGTAAAAATATTAATTATTCTATCATACTATAAATACTCATACACAAGTATTTAATAAGGTTTTTTTTTTTTTTATGTATTTGGTACAGGGTCTCACTTCGGACTCACAGTGATCCTCCTGTTTTCAACTTCACCAGTGCTGAGATTACAGGCCTGTGCCACCACACCAGGTCTTGGTGGCCAGCTCAGTGCACCCAGGGGTGGGGCTGGTGTGGCATGTGGTGCTGGGAATCAAACCCTGGTCCCTGCACTTGCCGAAGCAGGCACTTAGTCCACTAAGCTATCTCAATGGCTCTTTTAGTAAGATTTCTTACTTGAAAATTTGTATTGAAATTGGGAGTAAAATATTTGGATAGAGAATGGAGTTGTGACCTTTTTTTTTTTTCTGGCAGAACCAGGGATTGAACTCAGGCCCTTGCGCTGGTCAGGGAAGCACTTATTCTACTGAGCCATCTCTCCAGCCCCTTGTTTGTTGTTTATGCTTTTTGTGATACTGTGGATTTTTTTTTTTTTGCTAGCTCAGGCTGTCTTAATGGCGGGTCTGGCAAGGCATAGGGAACTGGGGATCAAACTGCAGCCCCCTGTGACTGACTGGGATAGCCCCGATACTGTGGATTGAACCTAAGGTTTTTGCAGTGAGCTATATTTCTTATACTTTTTGTTTTGAGACTGTCACTGTACTGTAATCTTCCTGCCTCAGCCTCCTGAGCTGCTGGGATTAAAGGTGTGTACCACTGTTCCCTACATGACTGTTCTTTACAGTACATACTTGAAACACCTAAGGAAAAAAAAAAAAAAAAGAAAAGAAATATCTAAGGCCAAGAAATCTACACAAAAGTTGGTTTGCACAAGGTGATCGGGCCTGGTCACACTCACTCACCTTGTGAACTCTGGAGATAAGCCTTGTTACTCCTTTCAGCATTGTCCTGCACTCTGAATAAAAGTGAAAACGTAAGTCACAACTGGAAAAACGTAATAGTGACACACACAACTAACAATAATATTTAGGACACATAAAGCATGCTTATGAAATCATAAAAATAGGTGAAAGACATGAATAGGTATTTCATAAAAAAAAAGAAAGCAAATGGCTAGTAAGCCCATGAAATTTTTCAACCTCCAAATGTAGATAAAGTGAGATTTCTGGCAAATCCTGAGTAGTTAAACCCCCACTCGAGGGAGCAATTAAGAGAAGCAGGGAGAACAGCCTGGCTGTTCCTGCTTGGTGCCAGGACCCCAATTCCCTCCTCTCCATCTCCAGTGAAGTATAAAGGAGACAAGGTGGGGAGAAAGCTCAGTATGTAATGGACACTCACACACTTTCATATAAATTCATACACATTTAGTATTCTCTCACCGTGTTAACGCACTAAAATGTATATGTACTGAACACTAACTTGGCCTTGAATGTAAGGCTTTGCTATAAACTGAAAAATCACCTTGACAAAGCAAAGAAGGCCAAAGGGGGCTTACCCAACAATTTGCATTGATGCAACAGAGGCCAGTGGCAAATTGGGGGTCTCAGAGCCTAAAATAACCAAGTTATAACAACTCTCAAGGGGCAGTCCCTTTCTTGCCACGTAATAAAAGAGGCCGAGACCAAAGAAGCTCTGGCTCTGGGCTCCCTACGTCACTCAGCAAGGTAGATGTCTAGCAATTCGTTTCTCTTTTTTCCAATAAGCTGAGTTTGTTTCTCCGTCAGATCTTGTGTCTCTAACTTTTTATTAGTGTAATGTTTATAAATCCAGATCAAAAAATCTATCCTCGGGGCCGGGAGATAGCTCAGTAGAATAACTGCCTGCCTGGCAAGCACAAGGTCCTGAGTTCAATCCCCAGTATCACAAAAAGCAAACAAACAAACAAAAAAACTATCCTCACTCCAGATGTGACACTAACAAATCAGGGAAATGCAAATTAGAACCATGATGAGATGACATTAGCAACCCCTATCTTGGGGAAAACAGAAAAGTCAGACAATAGCAAATGTTAAGAGGCCATAGAGCACTGGGAAATTCATTCTACTCCCGAAAGGCGTATAAATATAAACGTCTTAGAAAATAAATTTAGCATTATCTTTGCAAAGATGACTATAGAACTCTATTACCCAATTACTCTAGTCCTTGGTAACTTATTTTACAAAAACACACATGTAACTGGGATATATGAGAATGTTCATGGGGTAGAGTATAAATTATCAAAAAACTGTAAAAGACCTAGAAATCCCTTGATAAAAACAGTGGATAATTATAGACACAGTTTTATAGAACATTATATAGCAATAAAAATGAAACAACATCAACTACTAAGATTAATACTGAGTGAAAACAATTACACCTAGGATGATAAAATTATAACCCTGAACACCTTGTAGACCTCCCCCCCAAAAAAAGTAACTCAATTGTGTCCCAAATTTTCTGATCAAGGAGATTTTGGGGCCACAGAAGAAAGTGATCGATGATGTAGTGTGCCTAAGGAGAGTCACATGGAGAGAAAACATTCTCTCAAGCTTTCACAGAGAGCAAATTGGTCAACTAATGGCCGTGACTCATTCGACACTGACAAAGGATCTACAAACTGAGGTACAGGGTTTCAGGTTAAATCCTGAGAGGATTTGACTGACCTTATCAGATACAAAACTTACATTTCTTGTTATATAGGTCTTGTTCTTTCTTGGTCTTAACCATCCAGCAGAAAAGTATGAAAATGACTCAGGTCAATAATTTCTGACATTGCCAGTTAAACAGAAGACCCAAGGCTATTATGGTCTACTGGACTCTTTTAGAATATTTTGCTGAGTTTACACACCTACAATATTCAATAATGGAACTTAGAAAAAATAGGGCATACAGATGAATGTCCATTTTGTATCTGTGTATTCAAAGTGGTTAGGATAGATATATAGTTGCATTCTCTTAATGAATAGAATGATTTGTTCTAATGGCGTTTGTAAATAGGATCTCAAGTCCGCATCTTGTACAGCAATTAACCACTAAGAAGAATATATGCAGTGTGTTATTTGTTGAAACTGTACTTCCGATTTGATTTGAAACTGTCTCATTGCTGTTTATCAATAAAATTTTGGAAAAAAAAAGAAAAGTATGAAAATGAAGTATAAAAAAGTAAAGCCATATTAATATGCTGAGCTGTAAAATGCTCAAGTCAACAACTTTGGATATTGACAGTCTTATGGAAAACCCACTGCTATTATGAACTACTGGACTATACTGGGATATTTTGCTGAATTCAGGTACCTACAGTATTTAAATGACAATGGAATGCCCTTCTCTGACAAAGCTAACTAAAAAACGGGGATACAAATGAACCACCATTTTGTACCTGTACACTCAAAATAGTTAGGATAGATATACAGCTCCATTCTCTTAATTCAATGAATAGAGAAGTTTGTTCTAAAAGTGTTTGAGATAGGACATCAGGTCTGCATCTTGTACAATGAATAACCACTAAGACAACAATATGCAATGTATTAATTATTGAAAATGGGGCCAGGGAGATGGCTCAGTGGAATAAGCACTTCCCTGGCAAGCGCAAGGGCCTGAGTTCAATCCCCGGTTCCGCCACAAAAAAAAAAAAAGTACTAGTAATTGGTTGTGAAACTCACTGATATTTCTCAATAGAATATTAAAAAATACAGATAAAATGCTTTTCAATAATAAAAAAATAAGTAAATCTTTCAGGACCCCCCCCAAAAAAAAAAAAAATAATGGTTACTCTTAGGGAGAAAGGAAAGGTTGGGGCAGGACACACAGGAAAATGGCAATAAACTATTTCTAACACTGGGTAATGAATACATGAATTGCTTTTATGCTGTGTTATATCTATCCTTTGGTATTTTGGAAATTAATTTTTTTTTTTTTTTTGCGGAACTGGGGATTGAACTCAGCCTTTGTGCTTGTCAGGCAAGTGCTTATTCTGCTAAGCTATCTCCCCAGCCCTGGAAATTAATTTTTAAAAATCTAATCTTTCAGGAACCAAAAGGAATTTCAAATACAGTACTCTCCCCTTACTCATAGGGGACATGCTATGTACCAAGACTACCAGAGGACAACCCCTGACGCTGCAGACAATGCCAAACCATCTAAAGGTTTTAGGTTTTTCCCTATATATACAGACCTACAATAAACTTGAATTTATAAATTAGGCACAGTAAGAGATTAACAGCAGCAACAAAAACAATACAATAGACCAATTACAACAATATCCTACTGTACATTCTGTGAATGTGGTCACTGTCTCTTAAAATACCTTATGGTAATTGTCATGTTTCTTTTTGCTTTTCTTAGTACTGGTTATTGAGGCCTGGGTCTCGTGCATCCTAGGCAAATGTTCTACCACTGAGCCACAGTGACTTCCTTAGAAGTGACTTCCCCTCTTGCCAAATTGCTCAGAGTGGCTTTGACTTGCGATTTTCCCGCCTCAGCTTCCCAAATGGCTGGAAGGCCCACAGCACAGACACCCAGCTGTTTTCACCTTTTCACAGGAAGGAAGCACTTTATGATCTCTCTATAGTACATCTGGCATCTGGACAGCTAGAAGCACACTTTTTTTCCCCTCCTGTGTTGGGAGCCAAACTGAGGGCCTTCCCAGCCAATACTCTTATACTTGGGGACCATTATAAGTCAAATAAAGGTTACCTGCATTGCAATATAGTGACAGTGGACTTGATAACTAGATGGGTACTGATGGGCGGTCAGTGTATGTAATAGTATAGCACAGTGGATTATGTTGGACGTAGGGATGATTTGAGTCTCAGGCATCACATAGTAGGATAGCACAAGATTTCACTGCACTATTCAGAATGGCAATTTAAAATTTGCAAATTATTTAACTTTTCATTTAAGATTTTTTTTTGGTACCAAGAATTGAACTCATGATGCCATGCTTGCCAGATAGGTGCTGTGCTACTGATTCCCCTGCCCGCATTTAAGATTTTTGATCCACAGCTGACACTGGGTAACGAACAGCAGAAAGTACAACTACTGACAAATAGGGACTAGTATACTTAAATACAACTCTCAGTATCTAGTAGTGATAGAATAACTACAGTAAGTCTCTAGGAACTCAAGTACTTCATTTTGCCTCATCATTTTTGATAGGTTCTGGCCCTAGTATGAATTGTTGAATTATTATGGTGGTCATCCAATATGGCTGAAGCCCTTAAAACAACATCTCATCTTCCCAGAGACCACCTCCCCCCTTCTTCTCCAACCCAGCCCAGGGTGCAATTTCCTTTCACCTTTCCCTCCACCTCAGGGAAGGCCCCGGTCAGCTCCTCAGGTATATATATATAAACATCCCCCTCAAACCCCACCCCTGGCAAAATGTCACAAAAGCCTCAGACTCCCTTTGTTCCAATCCAGAGAATTCCTTACCTCCCCAAATTCTCTCTGTGTCCTCCAAGATAATGAAGCCCCTTTCCCTTTATGATAAAGCCCCTTTTCCTTTTGCCTTCTGCCTGTTTCTCTGCTGCAACACCATGGAAAACCTATCAATTTTCACTTTTCTTTTTTTTTGTATTATGGGACAAGATCTTTTTTCTTGAATTTACTATGTACCCAGGCTAGGCTCTAACTTGAGGTGATCCTCCTACCTCAGCCTCTGGAATGTGGGGATTACAGGTGTACACCACCATGATCAGAACCCCACCTTTCTTAAAACCAAAATTGTCAAAGCAACAACAGAGTTGCACCCATTAACTCAAGTTTCTGTGTTCCAAGACCTGTGAATGACAGCAAGCAAGCTGTTACAGCCCCTGACCTGAGGGAGGTTCAAGAGAATCATAAACTTTGAATTTCACCTCCTTTTGGTTTTTATGATTACTTTTTGATAAAGATGCTAATATATTCCTTAATTCATTCTTTCAAGAAACGTGCCAGGAGCAGGGAGACAGCCCAGTGGCATATATACCCACCT